GGGGGGGGTGAATCTCCGCGCTATACATCACAGCCGTCCCCAGGAATACCTTCCAGTCACGATATGGAAGGTAAACCGTTGGGAGGCATTCATGAACATCATATCTAAATATGTATTTATAGGTACTTGGACTTGTTGGAACGAATGGTATTGGAAAATCTACTGCTTTAAAAATTCTTGCTGGGAAATTGAAGCCCAACCTCGGAAAATATGATGTAAATTGTACTTTTTGATATGATTACAAAGGTCTTTTTTACGGCAATACCGTTTTTTCTCCAATGGTAAAGTAGGATTTAGATAGAATTCTAGGCTCCACCAGACTGGACGAGCCTTATCGAATATTTTCGCGGATCTGAGCTACAGAACTACTTTAAAAAAATTGTTGAAGACAATCTCATAGCTGCCGTGAAACCCCAATATGTCGATCAGATTCCTAGGTGTGTAGGTTTAGAAATCTGATGTAACCTACAACTGTGGTTTCCTGTGATGACGAATGATAGCTTTCCACTTAGAGTAGCAAAGGGAACTGTTGAGTCGTTACTGTCACGGAAATCTGATAGAGGGAACCGGGAACAAGTTCAAAACGAAATGGGTAAGTGTCTTGATCAGGTTACGTCACTAACCTCGATTACTTTGCCTTGATTTTGTTACGTCTCTTACCCCCAGATATTTTCCCTTCTTTGTTCGCAACTTGTCGCCCTTACGATCTAGCACCTTTAGACAATATTCTATAGAATTCTCGAATATTATTCCTTATCTTATAGAACTCAATGGGTTGCTACAAAGGCAAATTGATCAGCTGTCTGGCGGTGAACTGCAACGATTCGCAATTGCTCTGTGCTGTGTTCAAAAAGCCGAGGTCTACATGTTTGATGAACCTTCTTCGTATTTGGATGTAAAGCAACGGTTGCGTGCCGCTTCTCTTATTAGAGATATGATTTCTTCCACAACGTAGGTATTGTTTCCTGTATAAGGTAGACTGAAAACTACACTACTAAATAGGCGTTTTTCCACTTTTACTACCATGGCGTGGAGCAGTCTGCTGAAGGATACATCATGCATTCGACGGGCGTTTAAATGCATATTTGGCCTATAGAATAAGTTACAATTGTCTTTCAGTCTATTAAGGCAGAGTTTTTATCCTTTCAGACAAATCTAGCAACAATTTTTTTGACCCCGGTCTATGGAGGTTCATTAGTGGGTACGTGGTCGAGCCAACCACCACGTCTGTATAGGGATACACTTGGTCGTGTCAGCCAGTGGGTTGGTACATCAGTAAGCAATCGTAATTCATTCCATAGGCCATATACGAGTTTGATAACAACTTCAAAAGCTTCAAAAAGACGGTACGAAACCAGCTTATCAAATAATCCTCATCACCCTATGACACCTCTATAATAATATCATCAGAGATTGATCAGCACTGAACGCTTTATTGTTTCCATTTAATTCATTTATTTAAACTGCTGGCATTTCAACTCCATGGGTTCAGCTTAGAACAGAGGTAAATTAGTGAATTTCTGCCTTAAAGAGGATTTAAGTAAATTGTTGTTCAGGTACGTGATAGTAGTTGAACATGACCTCGCAGTACTCGATTACTTATCCGATTTTATCTGCTGTCTGTATGGTGTTCCTGGTGTATACGGAGTCGTGACATTACCATCAGGTGTTCGAGAGGGCATAAATATGTTTCTTGATGGATTTATTCGCACTGAAAATATGCGATTTCGGTTTGTTTCTAGTTCTGTTGGGACTCATTTTTACTTTTTTTCTTCGAACGTTGTTTCTCATGCCTAGTTATTACCTTTCATCTCGTGTCTTTGTCTTCAGCGAGGACAAATTATGTTTCAAAGTTTCTGAACAGATTGATGAGGTGGTTAAGCGAACGGGCAATTTCAAGGTGATATTTTTAAAAATCTGAGCTTTTAGTATATTTGCTAATTTCGATAATTTTAGTACCCGGCTATGTCTAAGACACTTGGATCTTTCAAACTCACTGTGGAGGCAGGTGATTTCTCGGACTCGGAAATCATTGTAATGTTGGGTGAAAACGGAACGGGTAAAACTACTATGATCAGGTGAATGGGAAGAGAAAGAGTGTTTTCCTTCCTCTGAGCTCTATTTTTTGACTATTTTGCTTACTATTGTCAAAAGGCTGTTCCATCGAATATTTTTCAATCTTGGATTATTAAGAATGTTGGCTGGTTCTCTAAAACCGGACGAGGATGTGGAAATGCCTGCAATGACGGTGTCATACAAGCCTCAAAAGATCAGCCCAAAATATGAAAATATTGTATGTTTACTCATTTATCTATAATAACTTGGTTTTTTTTTAATGTTTTGTACTTTCAGGTACGTCACATGCTTCATGATAAGATACCGAATATGTATACACATCCACAGTTCAAGTCTGATGTTATGAATCCTCTTATGATGGATCAACTTATGGACAGGGAGGTAGGTATCACAAAAAGAATACTGAAGGAAATTTCGTTGAAAAGCTGGCCCCAATGCCGATTTGTGCTCCCCAGATCAATCCTGTTGATGGGTGATTGCCTTCGATAACGCCTGTGGTTCAATAACACAGCTGACGGAAAGGCGAAGCGAAGGACTTCCATGGTGTGATGGTGAACGCGTTTGCCCCTGGAAAGGGTGGTAGCGTGGTCGATCACTACCGCAGAAACCAGCGCTCCGGTTTTGCAAACATCTCAGCATCACTATAGTTATATTTATGAAAAAATTGAAAAGAGTTATAACACCCGAACCATATCAAGAGAGCTTAGGTAGATGTATTGCTTCTTCGTAGGAATACTCATTACGAAAATAAGAAGTGGCCCTCCATCCGGATTCTTCATTGAGCGTCTTCCTTTCGTATTTGTATTGCAATCAGAGGATTATCTCTGGCTAATTAACTTTCAGTAATGTATGTTATTGGAGTAGAACAACAAAGATGCTGAGGTAGAAAAAGTTGAAACATTTGCAGAAGTGAATTTTTCTGAAGCATTCACCCACCGTTCTTTAGGTACAAACACTTTCTGGTGGTGAATTGCAACGTGTTGCTTTGGTACTATGCTTGGGTAAAACCGCAAGTGTTTACCTAATCGATGAACCATCGGCTTATCTCGATTCAGAGCAACGTCTTCATGCCGCCAAAGTGATTAAACGGTTTGTTCAATATTAACATTCCTACTTTAGTTTTCATCTTTGCACTTTTATACAAAGCATCATGAAATTCCCAAGTATTCTTCTTGGTCGCTAACAGGATAGCAGATAAGAAGGAATTGAATCAGGCTTGGAGTTCTTATGGAATTTACTTACTTGGGTGCTTAGAAGGCCCATCCTCACTGGTTGTGCGGGCCCCAGTATAATTCTTATTGTCTCGGAGTTTTGTTGGTTTAGCCATTAGGGATCCCTGGAATCCCGATGTCAGCCTATACAAAATCTGCCCACGTCATCACAACCAAAGGCAATAGTCGCCGTTGTGGATCAGACCGAGATTTTCCACCATGCGACTTTGTACCAGGACTACGCTGAATTCTGGTATTGGTTTACTCTTAGCTGGGCTTCCTATTGGAAACACCGAACTGCTTTTCAGTTTGGGAGGCCCTGCTGTGGGATGAATCCCTCTCTGTACATCACTTTCTCACATCCAGAAAGACCTCCCGGCCACGATGAGACGGCAAACCGTTGGGAAGTCTTCTAGAATTTAGCTTGAAAATTGAAAGATAGTCTATTCAAAGCATAAACTGGCATGTAAAACCAACGTGGTTATCTTGCGTATTATTTTTTCTAGGAGTTCACAGTTTAATAAGTTTTAAAAGTAATAGAAGCAGCACAAAGTCAGACTATGGGTTGGTTGTCTAGCATTTCCCTCAAGATTCGGAATTCAAAATAGAATTAGGGGATTGTCAAAGAACATCCTTTTTTGGAGTACTGTTCTCATACTATAGTTTCAAAATATGAAATATGTTCAGGTTTATTATGCATGCTAAGAAGACAGCATTTGTTGTGGAACACGACTTTATCATGGCCACCTATCTAGCGGATCGTGTGATTGTATTTGATGGTGAACCATCTGTTGAAACGACTGCAAGAACGTTTGTTATTTTTTGAAGTTCCACCTATTTCATAGTCCGAACAAGTCATAAGTACTAAATTACTATACTGGAGTACTGAAGTAGTAGTCTCGAGCCGTATATCTTGATTTCAATGCGCACGCCTTTTTCTGGCCTATTTTGCCGCCCAAAACTGCTTTTACAAGAGTTTTTCTTTTTTTTTTCTGGTAAATCAGTAACTTTTGGAACACAGATTTTGTGCTGTGGCTGGTTCATGGATTACTATTGTCATAGAATTGTACTAGCGTGGAGTATACCACGCTGTACTTTCGGATGAGTTAGCTAGTTTGCTTGAATTTCACAGAGGATCTGTTAGTACTTACATAGTAAGGTAAGGTAAGGGGCACTTTATTGGCACAAAAAGATACCATAACATTGAGGAGACTTTAAAAACGTGTTTATATTATGCAGAAAGGCTTTCTATATACGTAATATACGTGCTCAAAATGGGCATTTTTCAAAGGGAAAACTACATTATTAGGAAAAGCATGCAGTTCCAGTTCTTGTTGAACATCTTTTATCGTCAGTGTTGCAAAACTTAAGCTCAAAAAACATTTATTTTTACAATATATGACTTCTAAAGGAAACTTAGACGGAGGCGTTTCTAAGATGTAGCAGAAGTAAACGTTGATAGTGCTGGCATTCATTAATTCGTGGAGTTCTTCGGGAAAAGTGTATGCTCTAACCCATATTTTCACAACATTTTACTGGTGTTGTAAACCTTTTACTAAGAATATTTGCTTAACAATCATTAGCTAGTGCAACAATCACCGGTCAACGGTTCACCCTTCTTGCATGGAATTTGTGCTTTCTACATATAATCATCACTCCACCTATAAATCGAATCTCTCTAGCGCATAAACGGATCACATTTTTGCTCATCAGTCCTATGACAGTCTGATCTGACATGCTTTTTACATTGGCTATAACTAAAATGTCCTTGCTTTAACATTGTTTTTAACATATCTGGAATTTCCATACTCTGTCCAATACAACATTTCCGTCTTGCTTGAATAGGTGTGGCCTTTTTGAGAATGGTGCTAATAGTTGGCTGTGCAACAGTATAGTCTTGTACGTATCTCAAGCAGACGTTTCACTCGAGTTCGCTGAACTTGATTCTTCGCACGCAATCGCTGTAGGTTCTCCGGGAGTTGATTACACTTGTGCGTGACTGAAAAGTGGAACGGACATACATACCTAAGCTATGAAATTAGAGGTTGCAAAACAGTAAAAGAGCAAAATGCGCTATTCATTTGCATACTTTCCTAATATGGAAAAGAGGCGGCCATCTGTTCGGTGAGCTTCACCGACGATTTCCGCTTATTGTTACTTTTAAAAACTTCAGTCTCTTCTCCCGTATTTGGATTGATGGCCGAGTCTTGTGTTGTAGATATAGTTATAAAATTTTTTTCCTTTCATCTGAGCACCATTGCATCACACTTGTTCTGGATGCCTCTCCATTGCCCGTTAACTATTTTCGCCTTGATAACTTTCATTGCTATCTAGAGCCTAATCTTTCCACACGTTGCGTGCAAGTATGTATTGCTTTCTGATAGACTCTAAGCTAAGGAAACGTCTGTATATCAATTATCAGGGGAGAATTGCCTGCCTTTATCTAGTAGGTCGTCCATGAGCGTCATCACAAATGTATCTGCGAGACGTCCTGTCAGTCTGATATTTGCACCTTCACCAGCGCACACCATGGTTTTTCACGTATACTCTCTTTCACTACATTGTTTGAAGAACTTTTATCAGTATCTGTGCCTTTTTCGAAGGTTATATTGGTTGAATACAGTTCTTTCCCTGAATGCTACCATCCACTTGACAATACATTATTGCCAGGTTTGTATACATCCTTGCAATTCTTATTAATGATTGCTTGTACTCGGTTTATCTTGTATAATCTATCACTTTAATCATTACTCAAATTGTCGGAAAAATGCAATTGAGTTATTTTTTCGAATCTAGCCCTTCTCACTACAGCCGGCAATGTACGGTGCTTACCAAAGGTAGATTGGCTACTAGATCAGTGACCTTTTAGACCTGGCAATTTGATAACACGAATCCAAGTCCTCAAACCAATGAATTTTTTTCTTCCTCGACGATAATCTTTTCCCATTCAGCATTCTTCTGTTGGCCATAAATATTTGTCTCTTCCTTGATCAAATTCCAAACATCATCTATGAAAAGTTTGTAGAAATTGGCTGCCGATGAGCGTAATACCGCCTTGAACACCTGTCAGCCGCTCATCAAAGCATAGGGTTCTGAGTGACCGTACAAAGGTTGTCTACCCACCTATTGTGTCTTCATCATCCGAACAATGTTGTTCTTCATCTTTCGATTCGGTCTTTCCGAAGCCGTCATATGTGACAAATAAATTAGTTCCCATGTTGTCTTCTGTATCATCACCAACGTCCTTGTCGTCAATGTTTATAAGAAAGCAATAGGACAAAATTTCACAGTCTTCATCTACAGAGATGATGCCACTAAAATTTAAGCTCTCGGTCAACGGCAGGCACCGTTCCATGTTGTAGTAAACGTGATAGTGCGTTTAAACATGAAGAAAACGCACCAACGATTGACGTGCGGGAACGGAAGCGAGAATCGCGAAGAAAAAAAAACGAAAACAGCTGGCAAACTGATACCCTTTACCCACTTGGGATTTCCAAATTTCTGGTTCTCGCCTGCACCCTTGCCGCCCTTTTTTGTATTTGGATGTTATTGATTCACTGTTTCTCCGTTGCTTGTCTAATCGCAGTCATGGACTTTAATTATCTCTCCAGATGTAACATAACAAAATTTTTTAGAAGTAACGAACCTGTGTAGACAGTATACCCACAGTGGTCGACTAGTGGGCGTCTTGAGACCTCATATGTATACTTGATACTTGATACTTAGACGGCCCGTCTTCACTAGTTGTGTGGGCCCCAGCATAATCACCATTTTTGTTTTGCTAGTTAAGCCATTGTGGTTCCCTGAAATCCCGAGGTCAGCTTGGCCAAAGTCTGCCCCAGGTCTTCACCCCGACAGGCAGTCTCAGCCCTTGTGGATCAGAGAGAGATTTGCCACCATGTGACTTTGATACCAGGGCGGTGGTGGATCCTGGTATTGGTTTACTCTTAGCTAGGCTTCCTGATTTAAACGCCGGATTCCTCAGCTTAGGAGACCCTGCCAGTGGGACGAATCCCCCCGCTGTACATCGCAGTCGGATACCCAGGAACACCTTCCAACCACGATGAGGCGGTGAACCGTTGGGAAGAACCTCATATGTATAATAATTTGTATATACAAACGAGGAACCTAAGTGAGGTGCCGCTTGTTGGTGCTCTTCCACACAGGATTAACACACCACCTGGTCTCTTGTATACAGGTGACTACGATGTTTCATTGTTATCTTAAGGTGCGACTATATAGGACATCAATAACCATAAAAGGATGCTGAAACACTAATACCCATAAAAGGATGACGCTAAGTTTCTTGCACAAATTTGTTATGGTCGCTGCTCTTGAAGTGTACGAATTATTGAAAAATGCCCAAAGTTATTGAAGAACTGGTATCGTACACATCGTTTTTCAATCGCGCTGATGACTTTTAGGTTCTGTATGTGCGAGGATATTAAATCAGCAAAGTGACTTCGCAATGTTCTTTATACAGCTTACATAACTTCATTAAATGCTGATAACACTATCTGAAATGTTGGAATTTTATGTGACCACACACGAATGTTAAACATAGTTCAAGGACGTGATGGCATAAACAGAAGGTCATGTCGAATACATAAAAGTTGGAGAGACAGAAAATATATAGGGTAATTGAACAATGGAACGACATTCTCAGGAAACTATGCGCTGAGTCTCTTACAGAGACCGACGGACCATACATCTTAATTTCAATGCGCTTCAACGGCATGCGGTTCGACGAGCCCGACACGGTAAAGTGCGGTTCTGAAATGGTTAATAGTTGTCAAGTCGAGGAGGTGGTTGTGGGTTTAAGTTCATCTTTTACCAAGTCTCCGTATATTACACTAGGTATTTGCTGTAAGTGATTCAAAATCTTTTCGAAACTGTTGTGTTGTGGTAAGTAATGTTCATAGCCGCACAGAATTTTGGTTTTTCTTTTTCGCATCGGTCGCATTCCTCCTTTCAGTTCATATAAATCTTTTTTGACTTTAAAATAATCTTCCAAGCATTTCAGTGTCCATTCAACATAGTTGCAATTACATTCCTTACTTTGTTGTAGACGAATAGCATACATTACATGTTAATATAACTAAGTTGGAGCGTAAGAATCTTCACTTTTTATTGAGGATTCCTTTTTTTCCTTTGCGTTTATATCAGTTTTTCCTCTATGGGACGATGTCACAGTGAGCCTGTACTAAAGCCGTTGTACAGTTATCAGAAGTACACATGCACAGTGGTGGAAAAGCATTAGATCGAAATGAATGGTTGACATGTTAAAGCTGGCGTGTTGTTCGAGTACCTGCTACCGACTAGATGCCGATGACCCCCCAGATAGTAAATACTACGTTCGGTTCAGTTATCGCTACCAAATGTACTATGAAGTTTTGTTTTAAACCGTTTAATGTGAGCTACGTAAACTGTAATCGTCCTTGATGTTAGTTTTATGTTTGGTGGAATTACTTGTTGCGGCATGATTGAGTTACGTTTGGCGATCGTACACTTTTTGTGAAGATGTGCAATTTCTATCAAAGCTTCATTAACGTCGATAAATTATTTGGAAACGATACCTTATTTGACGACCTACATTCCGACCAACCACGGTCGCTCTGTGTTTCTCAGTATTTGTGAATCTTTAACTACTTCACCGGCATGAATTCCTACGGTTGATCATGATTGAAATTGAGACAGTAGTATATTTGCTCATTTGGACAATTGGCCCTTCCTCACTAATATTGCGAACTACAGCACATTTTCTACTTGTTTCTTTCTCACGCAGCCGTTGCCCATGGTGATGGCGTGCTTCGAGCACGGTGACGG